GTTATAACTCGGATTTCGGCATTCTTTATATACCCGTAATCCTTGTCACGCCCACTACAAGTTTCTTAATAGATATAGGCTTTATCTAAAATTTAATTTTTGACGCTCATTTTCATTCTTAATTAATTAAGCCCTAATAATTAAGCATAAAACATATAATTCACATAATATTCACATAATTCCTTTTCATTTCTTCAAAATGAGTTACAAAGGTTAACCTAGACTATAATGTCAATATGAATGCCTAGCCTAGAAACACGGGCATTACAGTTGTCTCGCGTCGTCACCGTCCCAAGTGGCAGACCATTTTATTCCGACTAAGCGTGTGCCACCGAGAGGAGTGGCTGCGTGATGTATGCTTCGTGTGTGTGTGTAGCGGCTGCACACTCTCTCTCTATTCTCCATGATTTCTGGAAGTCCCGTCTCCGATCACTACTAACTGCCGCCGTTAGCTGCCGCCTTCCCGTCGCCACCAGCCACCGTGGAAAGTGGCTGTGTGCGTGTGCTGCTATGTGTTTAGGTGTGTGATGGCGTATTGTGTTTTAGTGTGTGTTGTATGTAGTTTTGTTTAGCCGGAAAGTCGGGAATAACCACCGCCACAAGCCACCGCCGGCACCACTAGGGTGGCTGTGTGTGTTAGAGTAGTTAGTGTGTGTGTGTGTGTTTATTTTGAATTAAAAGCTTTGTAATTGTAATTAGCAAAAGATGTAATGAAAAGAACCATAACCACCACCGTAAGGTGGTGGTAGCCGCCGTGAGCCGCCATTGACCACCACTACCCTAGGTGGTAGTGAGTGGTGCCGCACTAGCAAAACCCTAATGGGCTTAATGATTAGTTTTGGGCCTATTGGTCCATGTTTGGGTGGGAAACCCTAATTAGGGTTTAGAAAACCCTAATTCTTGATACTTTGGGCCTTGGACTCATTGGGACCCACTTTTGGGCCATTGAGATTGGATTGTGTATTAAGCCCATATTTTTTAATATCATTTATTTAGTAGAGTAAAGGACTTAATGGATTAAGTCCTTAATGGGTTAAGTGAGAAACACTTAACCCTAATCGTCATTTTATGTAAAACCCCTAATTTCACTTGGACCTTGAGTTGGGCTTTCCTATTGGGCGTTGGTAATTGGGCCAATATGGGCCATCCAAGAATAATCTTATGTACTAGAACATTTAGATGGGCTTTAGGGTAAGGCCCATATGAGGGTTTGGGCCCAATTTGGAAAATTGGACCATAAATGGGCCATAGATTGGACCTTGATGATTATATGGTATTGGGCCCTTAGAATGCCAAGAGTTGGACCAAGAATAAATGATTGGGCCTTAAGGCAAGACCATGTAGAGGTTTGGGCCCAATTTGGAAAATTGGGCCATAGTTGGGCCTTGGTCCATTATTAGACTTTTTGGCCTTTGGATTGGGCCTTGGGCTTGAGTCAAGCTAAGTTAGGGGGTAAAGTAGTCTTTTACCCCAAGCATGGATTTATGAATATGTGTTAGAACCTAATTATTAATTGGGTGTTATTTTGATGTTGACAGATTCGAGAATCTGTCATCCAACAGCTAGGGTTTTATCAGCGGGACTTTAGCAGTGTGAGGTGAGTTTTCCTCCAGTAGGAACGAGTCTAAGGCACCAATGCCGGCCCGTTTAAGTAGTAGAGTATGCCGGGGTGAGCCCGATGCCGGGGTTAGCTCAATGCAGTTTATATGTTTCCGGACTTCGGTCTGATGTCGAGGCGGTCCCGAGAAGTAGTTAAGTATGCTTGATGTCTTTGTGATTCATGCATGTATATGTGTTATGTGTTATGTGTTCCGGACTCCAGTCCGATGCCGGGCAAGCCCGATGCAGTATATGCGATTATGTTATATGTTATGTGTTAATTGTTCAGGGGTAAGCCCGATGTCGGGGCAAGCCCGATGTATGTTAGTCATTATGTCATGTATTATGTATTGCGGGGCAAGCCCGATGCCCGATGCGGTCGGATGCCGGGGTGAGCCCGATGCCGGACAGGAGTCCGATGTCGGGTAAGCCGATGCCGAGACTCGTCCCGATGTAGTTGGGAGTAGTCCCAGAGTTATGTTATTTTTGATATGCTATGTGTATGGTATGTGGTAGATTGGGGGAGACTCACTAAGCTTCGTGCTTACAGTTTTCAGTTTTGGTTTCAGGTATTCAGTTTTCAAAAGAGGAGCTCGGGAAGATTGCAGTGCACACACCATTTGTTTAGCCTGGGATGTTTATACTCTGATATATTTTGACATGTGACTTTGATACATGACTTATGATTTTTATGTGATGAGGATATTTATGGTTTTAATAATGATTTGAAAACGAAAATTTTGGGCTGTATTATTGGGATGTTACACTACAGGGGTTGTTAACATATCATTATTTGTGTATTATGTATTATTAGTCCAGTATTGTTCATCCCAATTGTATTTGGGAACATTTCCTTTGTAATTTATATATATACCTTTTATGTTGAATGAAAGAGGGTTACGGGATATCACAATTTCAGTTTATAACTCTAATCCCGAAGATCCGAGATGCTAAGTTTGTTTCTAACTTTCGACCGATAAGCTTAATTGGATGTCAATACAAAATAGTTAGGAAGATCTTAGCCAATAAGTTAAGTAAGGTGGTGGGTGATTTAATCAGTATTGAGCAATCAATGCTTGTCGAATGAAGAAAAAGTCTAGACAAGCCTTTTATTCTTAATGAGGTGGGGTCTTGGTGTAAAAACTAAGAGAAAGAAAGTGATGATTTTAAGGTAGATTTTGCTAAAGCATACGACTCAATTAGTTGGAGTTTGTTAAATGATATCCTAGAGCGATATGGGTTCAGTCACAAGTATAGGAAATGAATTTAATGCTTCTTAACCTCATCTACATGATTGGTGGTGGTTAATGATAATGCTACTAATGATTTCGATTTCTCAAGGGTTTACATCATGACGACCTGCTTTCCCTTTTCCTTTTTCTTTTGGTGATAAATAGTTTAAATATAGCTTTTAAACATACTATGGCTGCTGTTTTTTCACAAGCATTTTGATTTGGATTATTTCACATATTTTAGGCAAATGATGTTTTTATCGGGAATTGGAGTTCTTCTAATTTTTCAAATATTGTTCAGATTCTGCATTGTTTTCATTTATCTTCAAGGTTTAAAATTAATCTCCAGAATTGTCGTTTGCTCGGGATTGGTGTCACAGACTCTGAGGTGTATATGGTGGCGGTGGTGATGGGGTGCAGGTCTATGACGAATCCTACATGGAGAGTAAAGTCATTATCGGTAGGAGAGATATTGACCCTAGTCAAATCAGTGTTGGGAGCAATCCCTACTTATTACACGTCTCTTTTTAAGGCTCCGTTGACTATTCTTTTGAAAATGGAGTCGTTGAGAAATCAATTTTTATAGGGGATGATTTGGAGGAGTGGAAAATTACATGGATTAGTTGGGATAAATGATAGCAAATAAGCAAGTGATGGCTAAGTAAAAAAATGGTGGGTTGGGGATTAGTAGCCTTTTTTGCGTTAAACCGTGCTTTGTTGTTCAAGTGGGTATGACACTTTCGGATGCAAAAAAAGGTTTTTTAAGGTGAAAGTTGTTAGTACGATTCATGGCATTCATGGTTTACCGGATAGAGACTTACCTCCTCATAAAAGGTCAGTTTCGTTGAAGGGAGTTCATGATCTTCATAACAAAGGAGTAGATCTTTTATCCTTATGTCGGTTACAATTCAGGGATGGGTCTATTATTTCTTTTTGGAATGATATCTGGTTGGTTGATACACCTTTGCATCGACATTTTCCTACACCGTATGCGTTGGAGTTAGATAATGGGGCCACAGTTCAAACCAAACTTTGTACTGATTGGGTTATTTTCAACGAGCTCAGTGAGGAGTGAAGCTCTTTCAGCTCCCGACCTTTGTCTCCTTATTATCCTCTGTTTCTCTTGGGGATAGTAGTGATAGATGGGTTTGTTTTTTATTTCTCTGGTGTGTTTGTTGTGTCCATGGTTTGTGAGTTTATAGATTAGTTGTTGTTGTCGTTCCCAAATCCAACAAGATGGGTGAATCTTATCCCAATTTAGCAATTATGTAATTGTTCCGTCTTTGTACTCTCCTTGTAGGTCGCTAGTTTAATAAAATCTTTTTGCAGTTAAAAAAAAATATGACATGACATGTAAATAATCAACGTAAATGGTATAACACATTTACCCAACAAAAAAAACAAGTGTCTTAACATCCTTGTTCCCACGTAAGTCATAAGTAAAATCTCACCTAGTCACCTTCCTTGCTGTTGGGGGGGGAACTGAGATTTACCTTATGTTCTAAAGCCTTAGGTTCGGAGAAATAAGCATAAAGAGAGGGGAGGGCAATGGAATGGATCATAACACAATATTTACAGTTAAAAAGCTGCTTTTTTTACTGAATGAAAAATTGTGTGTAAAAATAGCTGGAAAGTAAAATCAGTAAATTGTATTGTATTGTATGGTTCCACAGCAAACATATAACATATATTAATGAAATGAAAAGGTGAAAACAAAACAAGCAGTTTGACAGTTTTTTTAACGCAACGAAATAAATACTATTTACAACAAAAAAAAAAAAAAAAAAAAAAAAAGACCGAAAACCCACACCATCACCATCAATAACAATTACGATTGGAATGGAATGAGGCTTCTTATTTGAATTTCCCTCTACTCACTTTCATCAATGCATGCATAGAGTCTTCAAATCTGCACATTCATGCCCCATGAAACCATACCATACCATACCTCTTTTATTTCCATCTCATACATGATTTTTTTATTTTTTTTTGTTTTTTTTTTATTTTTTTTTTAATCCCATCAAATTTGTTCCTGTAAGACACCAAATAAGCAATAAATAAATAAGACCATAGAAAACTATAAGTAACAGGACTTTTATGACTCCAAAATTACATTTTTATTTCCGACTATAGTTAGTTTTTGCAATTTTGGTCCCTGTATCGGTTAAGCTAAACAGACTAGCTATTATTATTAATTTTTTTTTTTTTAAAATGTGCACTTTGCCCTTGGATCAAAACTGAAAACAACAGTATACCATGATAACCAAATTTGTAATTTTCTCTTATTTTTTAATTGAGGTTTATAACATTTTATATGTGCACATATTCATTTTGAATTTGGTACTTCTATAGTAGTATTACAAAATAAAAAATCATAAGCAAATATAAAATGTTATAAACCTCGATCAACAAATAAGAGAAAATTACAAATTTGGTCATTATTGTATACTGTTATTTTTTCCCAGTTTTGATTCAAGCGCAAAATGTTCATATTTAAAAAAAAAATAAAAAAAAATTAGACAACACACAGACCCGAATCGTTAAGAAGATTCAAAATAAGGACCAAATTTGGAAGAGAAAACTTTTAGGGACCAACATTGCAAAAATCAGCAATACTCAGAGACCAAACATGTAATATATAATATAAGCAATTACTTGAAAGTTGTAAGTTGTAGGTTGTAACATGTGTTTATCTCATTCACAAGCAATCTTGGTGTCAAAGCTGCTTAGACAGATGGCAAATGCTTGAAAAGCAGAGATTGGGTAGCGATAATCCATGGTGAAAACATCTTTCCCTACTTTCCCAAATTGAAGAATAACTTTTTCGTATTGTGGGCCCGATTGTCCAGCTGGCGGTGTGGCTACCAGCTGGAAGTTTTTCACTGAAGCAACCGTGACACGCCCTTGAAAATTTAAACACCAACATTGAAGCTGTTCATGCCATCTTGGAGATTTGTTTTTTAGAACAAGAGGTCCGTCTCTTTGACTTTGACTTTGACTTTGACTTTGACTTTGACTTTGACTGGTGGTTAAGGTTTTTTCCACACAGCTTGATCTTGAACGAAAGAATGGAATTGAAGGAAAAGATTCACCGCTGGAAAGGGGGAATTCGGTTTGTGTGGGGGCCACACCTCCAGCTTCAATGGAAGAACTTGGAATTGGATCCATGATGCATTGCATTCTTCTTGGACCCCTGCTTTTTAATTTTGTTATAAAGACTAAATTTTAGAAAAGTTTTTATATAAAAAAAAAAATAATCATCTTTTTGTCAAAGAAATAAGAAAAAGTTTATACAAGGAATCAGATTCCTCCAGGAACAGTCCATTCCATTCCATCAGGCAAAACAAAAAGCTTCTTTTTCATTGGAATGGAACGAACCATTCCATTCCTTCCCTGATTCCATCATACCAAACACTACCTGATATAATATAAGCATACCTGGATCCCAACATGTTCAACTCATATGAGATGTGAGCTACTGGATAGCTTCCAGCAGGAACTCTAGGGGAAACCTGAGTGGACCCCATAAATCTTGTGGAACGACTCTTTGTCATTTTAGCTCCATCATGAGGTGGCAAACCATCATATACAATAAACTTTGTTCCCAAAAAGTTTGACCTATGTCATCAAATCATATAAAGAATATGATGTTTACTTTACTTTCCAATCATATCATAACAAACCGAATGTTTCAAATGGTAATTGTAAGTGTAAATCCTCACCTTAATTTTCCAATATATCTATTGCTCCCTTTTGACATGTCATCAGCATGTAATGAGATGATGTAATCCGTACATGTGGTGCGTCTAAACTTGCGAGCAGCAAGAAGAAACTTTCCATCATCAGCAAGTGCTGCCAGATTACAGGGACAAAATAGTAAATATGGAACCCAAATGTGAGAAAACACAGAGCTCATAATAAAACAAGAAATACCCTTCAAATTTAATCAAGCTAAAAAGAAATTTAGGAATTCCAACTTTATTACTTATTACCATGTTGTTTTACAGAAGAAATGTAAGTACAATGGTATAATAATAATTAAAAAAAAAGTACATTGCTCTATTTCATGCGTTTATCCCTAGAAAAAAAAAGATGTTTACTTTACCTTGAGTCAAACTAAGGAAAAGGAAATATGTTTGAGTAGACCGTTTCCGTTTTATAAAGCATTGGAGAAGAGATTCTCTAGGTCCAGGCTGCACGTTAGCAAGAAACTATTAATTATTAACTGAAACAGTTAAGAAGCCAATTTAACTGCAAAACTCCTAATTATACATTTATTTGAAAAAAAATTAGGAGCTTATACATTATGTAACAATGTATTCACATGTGTCAGCAAGAAATATCAATCTCAAACACTAACTATATGGAAACTTGTGACATATGAGGCATGTGATAGTTAACAAAGGAACAAAAAAAACCCTATAAGGTGTCAATTTGATGAAAAAGTATCAAGATTTACAAAAATAAGAAACAGAACTCAAATAGAAAAATGAAAACATCTTACTCTATCTTTTGTGGGATAAAAATTCAAATGAAGCTTGTCCTTTTTTGTCCATGTGTGGTTTAATGTACGTGTGTGAAACTAGAGAATGGAATAAAGGAGCTGTAATGACATGTGTGCTTTTAGAACATTTGAGCAAGTTGTATTTCATTTGTTGATTCTATTGTTTTATGGTGTTTTCTTTATAACTTTGTTAAATTTTCATGAATCTTGGTTTGATTATATCTTATATTGTTAAAATAGTTGTGATATTATTCTGTTTCTTTTCTCATTTAGATTGTAATTTTCTGTTAGTTAAGAAAACTGATCAAACAACCATGTTTTCATTTAATACTTATTCAGACAGAGGAATAAAATGGTAATTATTTATCATTTAACTCATCATTCAGAAATCAGAATACCAATCAAACTGTCTGGCTGTCAGTTGCCATACATGCACAGTCTAAATAAGTGGATAAGTAACACATAATCAACCCTAATAGTGGATCATACAAGTATAATAGATATGGCTATCTCTTAATTTCTCAGCCCATGTACCATATATGTATTCTAATATTTGTTTCCTTATGTGATTAACACAATCAATCCCTTGTGTATCCCTTTGTCTACACCCAACAAAATCCTTATAAACTTATAGATATGAACTAACACGTCAGAATAATTACCACACAATAAAGGGATACACCCAAATAGTGAATCATACAACAAAATCCCAACCCTAAAACGATTGATAATCATCGAGGCACACAAAAAAAAAACGAAACAATCAGACATAGTTGTAGGAATTGAGGTAAACCTGCTTGACAGAAATTGGGAAAGTCAACATCCCGGAAATCTCAGGCCTCTTAACGATCTCCTTCATGATCTCTCTCCAACTCCTACAAACAGTAGCACAACCAACAACATTCT